CCCCCCCCCCCCCCCCCCCCCCCCTTGGACGGTGACTGTAGACACGGACAGAAAAGTTGATAAATATGAACATTGATAAGAGAATAAACGTGGTAATAGTAAAGCGGTGAGCCCCGTCTTCGAGCTGGTACAGTAGGATTTACAGGATTTGGACTGGAGAAGGTTACACAGTTCACCCAGTGGAGGAATAAGGTGACCAGTACTCCAACGTCAGGTCAGTGTGTGTGTAGGAAGATGAGGAAAGGCAATTAGAGATAAAAAGAAACAGCAGCTGTATCTTTAAGAGGACTTTACTGGACTTTCCTTTTCCTCGAGCGGTATCGTCTCCTCCTCTGCTTGTACAGGTGGCGGAAATTGATGAAGAGTCCTGTAGAGGAGAAGAAACGGTCTCTGTCAGCATTACCTTCATAGGCTAGTTGCCATCTTTCTGTAAAAGGTAGACTAACGCACCAAAAGGCCCGTTTGCACAGCACGATTCTAAAGTTGCCTAAATTCCTCCACAAGCGCTGCGTTTCGAGAGACATGTTTTGTACAGTATGATGAAAATCCAATTAAATCACAGTATCCCAAATACAGTCAAGTTTAAAGTTCAAATCAGTGTGCACTAAAACAAGATTAGATTGAATCCCTTTGCCGTCTATTCCTGAAATATTTAGGAACATTTCCTGCATGCACCAATCAATGAACATCCTGAATTTTGTCAAAAAATACCATAACAAAAAAAACAACCATCAGCATTTGTATTTCTGATTTGTATGTGTTAACGGATGTCTCACCCAGGAACATGAGGACCAGGTAGAGCTGCAGAGTGTAGGAGAAGCTAAAAGAGTGTCCCAGGAGCGCAGGGAGGGGGAAGCTGAACAGACGCGTCTCATCAAAGATGGGCAGGGACTGGATCACAGCCACAGCTGGAAACACAAAACGACACACTGTCAGCAACATGTGTAACCTCAACATCTCCGACAATAAGTCTATAATAAATTCTATCGACAGAATACAGACACCCAACCCATTAAAACTCCCATTTTTTTTACCTTGGAGGGCAAACGTGTCCTCTTCCTAAAACTGCTATATATTAATATTACTTTCCGCTTTTACTGAGTTACATTTTTCAACCAACTTCAATCTCGATCATAACTACTAATATATATATTTTTTCACTTTTTAAAAGCTTTGTTTACGTATTACCAATGTTTTTTTATGTATAAAAACCCATGAAAAATGTATTGTTTTCTGTATCTATGCTAAAGTACATTTTTCATTTCAGTCTGGAATCAGTCAATGATTAGCAACAACACGGATTTTGATGAATTTCTTTTAAATATGTTTTGTGCAGGAAACCAGGAAAACAGCACGGATTTGCCAAAAATGGCTCAATCTGGTGGAAAATAGGAAAAAACACAATTTTGAAGCCAGGGCTCTAGAATGGAAGCAGAAAAAGTGGAAAATAATATTTATGTACAACTTTATGGTAGTTTTTGACGCAGACACTTTTCTCACCTCGGACACCAGAGCAACTTGTGTTAAAGTGAGGCACACGGGTTGAGCCACCATTTGGTCAGTAAACTAGTCACTCACCTTCAGCCACAACTCCCAGCGGGTACAGAGGGATCCAGAGGCTGTACCTCAGCCACGTTAACAGCTTCCACTCAGTGCTGATGCAGGCCAGCATGTAGAACGGGTACCTGTATGTAGAGAAGGAAGAGCTGATGTTACAGCAGGCAACAGCACATGTTCACCAGAGAGGGGAGGAGGACATCAGCGGACCTGAAGATCTCGATGGTACTCCACAGGTAGAACACGAAGAACACAACAGGTTTGTTCTGCATGTCTTCCAGACTGCCGAAGATTACGAACAGAATGACGTTCCTCCCTGCCACCTGCAACATCACGAGGCACAAGAACAAGAGATCTCAGATCAAAGTAGGTCACATCTTAATGCTACGGCACACGGGGATGCTTTAGACAATAGTGTGTCCAACTTCCAACTATTAACATTATTTTCCACTTTCACGGAGTTAAATCTCTTAAACAACTTCAGTACAGATTTTTCACGGTTTATAATAATAACAATAAAACTTATTATAGGAGCTGAAGCGACTGACTTCCCTGCATTACCTGTATCATAGCAGGAAAAAACCCAGTCTTAACCAGACCCAACAAGGGATTAATGACCTCGAGCACGGCCATCATCTGACAGAAATACATCATATCAGCAGTGGTGTGGAAGGTATCGTAGAACGAATCTGTGGAGGGCGAGAGAAACAAACCAGACATAATTAAACAGCACATTGCATGAGCCACTATCCATAATCCTCATCATTTACAAAACAAATCCCTCCTGTGTAGTTGTGTTCCTGTTTCAATTCAAATGAGCTTATCTGTGAATAGCTCCTCACAAACGAACACACAGACCTCTCTCAGTGTATTCTGGACCTCATGTTCTTTATGCAGTGGTGCTAATTATGTTCGCCTGTTTTCGTATTCCATAAACACTCACACAGAAATTGCTGATTATTTTATTTATTAATTATTTTGTCCATAAAATTCAAAAGCGATTAGGGACCACAATAGCTTGTTTTATCCCCGTTTTTATCTTTATTTAGTCCGTCCCTCTAGTCTGCCAGTCTCACTCAACTGCTTCACGTTGAGTGCCTTTGTTTTCACTTTTACAGAGATCCGTGTGATGAACTGAAGAAACCACAAGAACAACTGACATTAAGATGACTAAAAATAAACTGATGGATTACCCTTCAAGCAGGTTTCATGTCTCTGCAAGCAGCCGTTTATGGCATACTGAATTGATCTGAAAGAAGTAGCTGCCTGGAAGGTGGGAAATCAGTCCTAGAACGTACAGTTACATGTAACTGTTGCCAGTAATTATTCTCTGTTGCCAACTTTGCCTTCCTGTGGCAGATGGCCTGGACATAGATTTCACTTCATGAACTGACAGTGTTGTCTTTTTTACAAACCTTGACCGAGAATGAAGAGTCGAACCGTCATGTTGACAAAGATCCAGGAAAATCCCAAGAACTGCACCAGGTTGTACATAAACAAGTATCCTTTCTTCAGCCCCAGGTAGGCTGAGGAATCAAATTAACTGGTTAACGGTGCACAAACTCCTCCCACAGGATAGCACAGGTCCACATTAATTACATTTCTATGAGTTTTTGATGTTTGCAGGTGCAGAACTCAGTGTGACTCACGGTCTTTACGAACTCTCGACTCCACACTTATCTTGTTTATCTTCTCCTCCTGAAAGAAAAATCACACCATGAGAATCTCACTCTGAAATGATCAACATGATCTATATTGTTGTTTTATATTCACTGGCATCTTTACTTGTTTTAATACAGTGATTACGAGTAACGATCTCAATGCTCTCATTAGATCCAGAGACGTTCACTGACTTATGTATTATATTTGATGATTTGGTGAGTACCTTTACAAATAAAAGACTAAATTCATAAAGGTGTATTATCAAGCTACTGGAATTTCCACTGAAATGTTAAATATATCCACAATGTGAACAGCTACACATGATAAAGTTTATTAAATATGAGGACACATCTCAATAGCTTTAAATGTAAGAAATAAATAATTCCAGTACAGCCCTAACTATTTAATACTAAAACAATAAGGAACCAAAAAAAGAGAAAAGATGGTTGAAATCATCAATGTAAAAAGTAGCACTGATAAGCAGAACTATAAAGAAAAATAAAAGGAGTGGATTAGATGATGAAACGTACACAGAAGTCCTTTAATAGTTGCTGTGTTTTCCATGTAATCATTGCGACAGCCCCGTGGGAGTTGGCTCAGTCGAGTCATGTGTAGAAGGGCTTCATGTTAACATCCCAGCAAAGGAGAGACCGGTCAGGCCGCTGATTTGAATTTACACCTTTCCCCAAGTTAAGCTTTGCCCGACAACAACGAGCAATGTAAATGTTTGTGGGTTGGCTTTGCAAGGCTAAGCACGAGGAGCTTACCCTGGCCTCATGGCTGCACCAACCTAACCGAGGCGATAATAACTCCTTAAAAATGGCTCGCACCAATAAAGACAACATATAGACTACATATTCCCTTCACAACATACTGCTGCCAGGTTTGCATTAGCAGTCAAAAGCCCTTTCCAGGGTAGAGCACATTTAACTCATCAAAGTGGACTTATTCTCATTTGTGTGTTTTTCTCAGCTCCTACCTTAGCTTGAAGCTCCATCTCTGCGTCGGACTCGTCCAGCCAGCGGTCGAAGTCGGGAGCCAGAAACAGAGGCTTCTTCCCCTGCAGTGTCAGCCGGTCCCACCAGCGCTCCTCCTGCTTCTTGATCTTGATGACCACCTGACGCTGGGTGGACTTATGGTTGATCTGAGAACACAGTATTAGATCATTTATATGCATCTTAACCGAGACACGCAGAAGGCAATGACGTAATGCGAGTAGCTGTTGTGTGAACACAGCCGGTTCTTGTGTATCCAAGAAGAAAAACAAGAGGACTGCGACTCCCACTGTAAGCACATTTCATCCGCTACGGATGATCAATAAAAAAACAGTTAACTGTGCGACAAATGCTTTTATTTGAGAGGTGGAATGAAACGGCTCTGTCCTAGAATAAATTCATTTATAATAAACGGGATACTCCAGGCTGTGATGTAGCAGCTAATCAAGCCTCTCTCCAGCAAGAAAACATTTTCCAATCACAGTTCACTTTGACTTTACGGCAGTTATTTCTAGCGGGTACGCTTGCTCAATCAGCAGCATGACGCATTATCCCGCAGTCGTTCATGTATGGTGTTACAGTTGTGACAAAACTGGATTTTTTTTCATCTGAACAGCAAGAGAACATTTTATGGAGTGTGCTATCGTATTAGCAGGATATGTTGACTACACAAATAATCTGGTAGGTTTTTCTTGCAATTTTAGTTAAATGCCACATACATTGACGTTTACACCTATCGGACCAAGTGACACATCACTAAAAATTTGTCTCGGAAAGATAACGCAACAAGAGACAATGGAAAGGGCAGATACAAGTGTGCCAAATATTTAATACCAGACACTGTAGGAAAAAAAATTGAATCAATAACTGCCCTTCTGCACTCTGGCATTTAATCTAAATCATATTTCAATGATGCAAAAAAAATACATTTCAATATTACAATTGATTTGACTGGTTATTAGTAATACATGGATAAAAGCTCAATACCTCAGGTCTAACAGGTTCCAAGAACTCCAAACTGAACTCGTATTCATTATCTCCTTTAGCTCCATGGCCCTGTGCTGTGGAAGAAGATTAACATTTTTATATTATAACAACATTAGGCTTTACAGTGTGTTTCATACAGAAATTGCCATCATAACAGACGTCATAAATAATAAAAAAGTCTGTGGAATAGTTTACAATATTTCACTTCAAAAATGTCATCGTGCAACTTCTCTTGAATTGTTCTTATAAACACATTTGTCCTCTTTACATGCACCAATAGAAACACCAACCTCTGAACTGAAGTGTGTTGTTTTCTTGCAAGCTGATGTCGAGATTCTGAAAAAGAGAAATGCAGTCATCACAACCAACCGGACACACACACACACACACACACACACAATGAAAGGACAAGTCTGGTTAATATTATATTATATTTGTCTTACTGTCAACAAATCCCATGAAAATATCACAAATACTATAGTTTCAGTAGTTAAACAGCTGAGAGCTGTAGTTCAAATAGGAGTAAATAGTACATTTGTCAGGGACTAGTTTCATCAGCAGATGGATATCTCGTGAGTATTTAAAGCAGCAGTGAGGAGGTGTGTGAGGAGCTCCATGGCACAGATGAATAAAATCAGGCTTTGGCTCCTTGTTAGTGGGATCAATTCATTGTTGGTTTTGGTTTGGAAAAATGTAGATTATTACCAGATTTATCCTTTAGAATAAGTACAAAGTGTATCAGGTACACCAGGCTAAATGCACTGCAGTCTAGTTTGACAGCCCTGTAGTATATCATACACTTTATGGGCATTTTAGAGGCTTAAATGCCGTGCTACTGAATTGTATTTCATTAAACTGAGAGAAGGTTCTTGTATTTAGTCTTTCTTCGTTGATAAGAAGTGTTCTTCCGTCAGCCTGTTCATGTTATCATTGAGCCTTTCTGCTAGGAAGCTAAACAGGATACAGAACAACCATTAGAAGTCATGCATCTTTTATAAGACGTTTGTCCAGCAGGAGGATGTATTCCATGTTACTAATGCAAACACATTAAGCCAGCAGAATAACATAAAGCAGTCAGTCAAATAATATTTGTTTTAACTGGCTGACATAAATGAATCATTAACACCCGGATGCCGTTTGTACAGAGCTGGGCTGGGTCTCTGGAGTACTTTATTTAGTTGATAATAACTGTGCAGTGTAGCTACAACACAAATAACTCATTCAGCTCATTTTCAGCCTGTATTCTGCACTAATTCAGAGATCATGGAGGCGGTTGGTAATGATTTAGCTAACGTTAGGAGGTCAGTTTAGCCACGTTTTAGCTTAACTAACTGAACACCAGGGCTTAAGCTAGCCGGTTGCGTGATGTGGAACTTACCTTCGCGTCGCTCAGATCCACCCGGAGATAAATCTCTCCGTGCCGCTGAGCCCAGTAAACGTGAGGAGTGAGGATCTGCATCGTGTCTTTATGTCTTCTGATATCTACATGCCATGAAAAATGAGGGAAATGTTCCTGAAACTGATAAACTGAAGTCCTCCTCTGACAGTCTACACACACACACACACACACACAACAGAGGGGCTATCACACCAGCTGGTGGAGCACGCTTCCGGGAGGAGGAGGAAGTCGCTCACGGACTTCAAAATAAGACTCCTCGAACGTTGTTTTTTTTAAAGATCCCCCATGTTTTAAGAGACATATAAAAGCAACAGTAAACACAATAAAACTGTTTTTTTTTAAAAAATGATTTGTTATTTTGGTAATATTTGTATTTCCTTTGTGTACTTTTTAGCGATCATTAATTTGTTATTATATATATTGAAAATTTACTGCATGAAACTGAGGCGCTGCACAGAATTTATTTTCAACTCTGCCACACAGCGTAATTAAAATGTACTGCTTTCAGTAACCTATCGGAGAAACCACAATTTTAAATTTTTGACATGTAAATAATAATAAGAAAACCAAACAAGAATAGCCAATAAAATGAAGAGCATTTTAATAAAGTAAATTCTCAAAAAACAAAATAAATACATATTACATGTCCGAAAAGGAGTGGGAAGAAGTACACTTTGAGTAGGAAGAAGTAATAATAATAATACAATTTATTTATAGAGCGCTTTTCACAGACAGACAGTCACAAAGTGCTTAACAGAGCAGAAATTAAAAGCATAAAAAACACAATGTGACCATAGGATCAATAAATTACATACATAAGTACACCCCTCTTTGACCAGTGTTTCATCCAAAACCAACAAAACAATCTCCAAAGTACGATCTAAGGATGAGCTTTTGAATGCACCACTGTAGAAAACGAACTTCTACACCTTCGGTGGGATCTTATTCAAGAGACGTTCAGGTACAGGGGTTAAAATGTTTGTAGGCTACGTCTACTTCTGTAACGCCTCCATGTGACCTCTCCGTTCGGTTCCAAAGTACTAACATCAGGTTAGCTCGTTTATGTGAGAGTTCACCGGGTCAAAGAGTATTTGACCGGGAGTACTGGACAATTGACACCATGATCGCAGTTTGATTGGAGTGTTGTAGCACGCTGGACATTAACTTTAGTTACTGTATAAAGCGTGTTTTTCTGCAAGAAGCAAAATGAGTGGAAGAGGAGAAACAAGCAAGGAAACGTCCCCCAGGGCTCCACTTCCCACCCAGGATAACGTGACAGAACAACAGAAGAAGAAGATTATTCACATCGTTTACATCATCGCTGCTTTGGATAGTTCATGGATGTTTTTACAGTTTTCTGTCACCCCTGTGAGTATTTTTCTGTTATGTCACGAGTACGAAGCTGAGATTTCCGTGCCGGAGTTGAATGTGAAAACGCCTCCGGAAACGCTGAACATTATTTTCTTTTATTGTTTTTATTTATGATAAGACATGGCCTGTATTAGTTATTATGTGTACGAGTGATCATGTGTGTTATGACACGTTAGCAGTGGTTATTTGTGCTACGATTGCATTCATTCACAGCATCGCCCGACATCCTCCGTTGTAAGCAGTTAGTTAATGTACAAATACATAATTTAAAGTAAAAGCCCTGCATTTATAAATGTGCTATTAGGTATATTATCAGCAACATACACTTACATTTACTGAATATACATTATACTTGCAGATAGATTGACTTTGTCAACTTTAGGTAAAAGTACTCATACCATACTGTGAACATACTCTGTTACAACTGTATTAAAAACCACACTTAAGCAGTGGAAAGTAACAAAGTACATTTACTCAAGTACTGTGCCTAATTGTACTTTACTTGAGTATTTCCATTTTCTGCTACTTTATCTACTTCACTACATTTTGGAGGCAAATATTGTACTTTTTTAATCTACATTAAGCCTACAGCTTTTGATACCTTAGTTACTTTGATTAATAATAGAAAATCTAATCGACTAATACATTATTATGCATTATTACTGAAATGTATGTCACAATTTGGATGTGTTGATTAGTAGAGATGGTCTGATTTCCAGATAATAGCTACTCTAAGCATGTAAACCTTTAAAAATTTGAAGATGTATTTTCATTATGTATCTCTTTAGTATTTGGCAAAGAAACTTGGGTTCGACACCTTGTGGTTTGGTTATTTGCAAACCACGGTCGGATTAATCCAGCTGCTTGGGGGTCCTATGTTTGGAAGGTAAGTATAAGACGATCAAAAAAGTAATAGCTGCTTTTACAGTTGTGCATGAAGGTTATTCTATTCTCAGAGGCTGTTGTACCTAAACTGTTTTTGTCCAGGAGAAAACTTGTGGTATGTGAGTTTTGTTGTTGTTTGCAGGTTTGCAGATATTTTCGGAGCACGAGCAGCTTTGTCTCTGGCGTGTTCTTCCACAGTCATTTTGTTTCTGCTGCTGGCCATAGCAGAGAATCCCGCCATGCTGTTCATCCACAAACTCCCCACAGTCTTCATGCATGTTCTGCCTGGTAAGCACCGCTCATCTACAATCCTGCTCACTCAGTGTAACATTTTTAACTTCAAACCAAAGTTATGGTGTGATTTATTTTTTAAGAACATTGTCGATTCTTTAAATATTCTAACTTTTTTTCTCTGAATATTTAGAATTTATTATTTAAATCTAATGTTTTTTGCTAACAATGTCCTTAATACTTTGTTGTAAAAAAATACACATTCAAAGAATTTACTGTGATTAGTGTAGTTGTATGAAACCCAGAAGCTGTCTATCACACCTTGCTAAGAAATGAAAGAACATTTTTAAAAACTTGCCATTTTTATTGCATAATGTTATAGTGTATGAAGGAGCGTATTGATTGGGATTTGGTATCAGCAGATAATTAGTAATAAGAACATTCCAACTGTTAACACAATGTCTGTGGTTAAAGTGAAACATTAAATTAGGGCATTAAATAGACTACCCTCTACTGTATGACCTACACTCCAAAAATCAAATAACATTTTATCCTAATGTTATTGTTTCTTGATTATCCTAAAAGTAGATGCCGTTTCACTTGCTTTTATTTCTTCATCCCTCTCCTGTCTGCAGCATGTCGGATGGTCGTTGCAGACCTCTCAGCACCTGAGAAACGGGCAGATGCTTTATCCAAACTAGGCCTGTGTTTTGGCATCGGCATGATAGCTGGCTCCACATTGGGCGGCCATCTTAACACGCGCTTTGGGTGAGTTTAATTCTGTGTGTGTTGTTGGAGAACGAGTCTACATTGAGTGATGTGCTGCAGAATGGAACATAAAGCAGCTAAAGAGCCGAGAGATTTTATTCAGGAGTTAGTAGAGACCAAAACAGAGCTAGAAATAGAGTCAACGTGGCCACAAAAAAGACTCCAAATGAATGCTAATGTTGCTCCATGTCTGCTGGGTGTGAGAATAAGCAACTGTTTTCTGACCACTTCATAAGGGGATAGCTTGTTAATGTTGTGTTTACAGCTTTAACTAAACATGGAAATGCAACGAAAATGATGATGATATGAATGGTATTTGTGTGTGTGTAACATTGTAAATGTACTGTACATAGTATATCTATAGTACACCTTAAATGGCCAAAGTATTTGTGCACCTAACACTGCTTTTAATTCCCAGGGAGACATTCACTGCATGTTTTGGTGCTGTGGGGAGTGCCTTCAGTTTACTGTTGGTTTTAAAGTTTATCCCCAAAACGACCAAATCTGAAGCTTCAGGAACCAATGAAGACAGTAAGACACACTTCGGTCTGCCTCACCTAATGTTCTCAGGGAATCACTATAAATGTTGACATTTTGCAGTAAAAATAATGTCAGTGTCTTTTACGATTTATTTTTAAAGTATTTTTTATTTTGAGATTAAGAACAAAATGTCTTTAAACACACAACATAGGATACAGATAAAAACATAGCTGTACTTAAAGTTAAGATGCTCACTCCTGCATACATAGGACTGGCAACCACTTGTTGTGACGTGAATACATTTGAACGGGGGAGTGAGAGTCCGACATCTAGTGGCTGAAAGGCATCAATGTTATCAATAGCACCTTTAATTCATAACGTTTAATTCATAACATTCTGTTGGAATGTTATGATATGATAATAGGATTTTGTTTCCAATGCCAAGGTGACAAGAGAGTCTAAACCTTTACGTTCAAAATCTCTCTGCACGAGGAAGAAAAACAAAGCCCTTGAGATGGAAAACGAGGTCCTCAAGGAGAAAGTTGCGCTTTTGATGACTGATCCTGAGCAGATCAAGGGAGAGAGGCAAATAATCCACAACATGATCGAAAACGGAGTCCACCAGCGGAACCAACTGTTGCACTGTAAAAAAGAATTGTCGGTGCTGGGTAAGAAGATGGAGATCCAGGGAAAGGAGCTGAGGAGGGAGCGCACGCAGAATGAGGCCCTCAAGGAGGAGCTGGAGTCAGTGAAGAAGGAGAAGCAGTCACTGGAGCAGCGCGCTGTCAACCACAGGGCCGAGCAGCAGCACCTGAAGGAATGTCTGGACCGGGCGATCAAAGAGAGAGACGGCCTGAAGGACACGTTGCTGCGCTGCAGAAATGAACACTCGGAGTTGCGTGACAAGATCAGCAAGGTCGTGAACAAGAAGGACGGTCAGTGCAAAGAGCACATGAAGCAAATCCATCTCCTCAAGCTGGAGACCCAGCATCTTGAGAGGGAGAGGAGCATCAAAGAAAGCGACGCTGACGACTTGAGGCGGGCGCTCCAAAAGTGTGAAAAAGAGCTCTCCACACAGAAGGTGAAGCTCGAAGAGAGCGACAGGTGTCGCGTCATTGGGGATCACATAGGGAAAGAAATACTAATAATCCAACAAAGACGTCACACGACCAGAAGACCCAGCCAAGAGGTGCCTCTCCGGAAGCTCGAGTCCTTACAGAAAGAGCTGCTCGCCCGGACCGAGGAGCTGAGGGAAACACAGAAGCTGTGTGGGGAGCTGACGGATAAAGGGGCAGAGGCAGCGGTGCGTTTACGGCGGTGTCAGAACACGGTCAGAGACCAGAGAGAGAAGTTCAAGGCAGTAACGGCAGAAAGGAGCATGTACATAGGTCTGACTGAAAAACTGGAGGTGGAATTATCAGACATCAAAAAGGGGCACCGCCAATCGAGCATCAGGGCGGCCTACAAGACTGGAGGCACATTAAAGGTGTAGGGACACTTATTAGGCTGCTGGGTCTTTGTCCATCGAGACATTTATCAGACAAATAAACCGACGTTACTTGATACTGATCCAGTTCTTTGTGATTTTGATTTGGTTTGTGGTACAGTGTAAATGTGACCTGCATGTTTGAAGCCTATACATTATGTACCTTCATTCGTAATATAATGAGATATTTGTGAGACAATTGCGTATTTTATTAACAAATGCTTTTTTTAAACATTTTAATTTAGAATGTTACTAAGACACGTTGTACATGTACAATAATAATAATAATAACTTTATTTATATAGCACCTTTAAAAACAGAGTTTACAAAGTGCTTTGACAGATAAAGATAAAGGCAATAAAACAACAGAAAGCTCAGTGAGACAGCTGATACGATAAAAATAAACTAAGAAAAAAAAATAATAATTAAGTAAAATAATTTAGTAAAATCAACAAATAAAAATAAAACAGAAAAGGGACGACATCACATAAAAGCCAGTCTGTAAAAATGTGTTGTAAGAAGTGATTTAAAAGATATTACTGATTCTGCGAGCCTTATGTCCTCAGGCAGGTTGTTCTACAGCCGAGGGGCCCTGATGGCAAAAGCACCGTCACCTTTAGTTTTCAGCCTCGACTTTGGGACAGCCAGAAGGGCCCCACCATAGGGGGTCAACATTCCCTCTATATATGTTAGGGCCAAACCCATCTGTGCTTTAAAAGTAATCAGTAAAATCTTACAATCAATTCTAAAACAAACAGGGAGCCAGTGGAGAGAAGCCGGGATTGGGGTGATGTGATGTTGTTTGTTAAAACCAGTGAGAAGCCGAGCTGCTGCGTTCTGAACTAGTTGGAGGCGAGAGAGTGACTCTTGGTTGATGCCAGAGAGAAGGTAGTTACAGTAATAGTCTTGAAAAGATGAATGCACAAATGACTCTTTCCAGGTCAGAGTGAGAGAAGACTGAGAGAGGATTCTTTTGATTTTGGAGATGGTACAAGACCTGTGTTTATTAAAACTTGTGTTTTGTTTGCACGCTTTTATTCTTGAATTCGCTGCAGGTGAGAACAAAAGCAAGTCAATATTCAACGTGGGAGAGATCACCAGACTGCTGAAGTTTGCTGGTGTGAAGCGGACTTTTGTTGTGAAGATAGTTGCAGGTTTGCCATCAGGTGAGAAGAAGGTTCGTTTTCACACACGGATGTATTCACCACAATACGTTTATCGCTTTCCATCCCAAGGTTTTTCAATGTAAATTAACAAATTGTGAAACACAGATTCTGTGCGTATATAGTTTCTCCATAATCCTTCTGTTGCACAATATAGTCAATCGGTCATCTATTATACTGTTTAAAATGGCCTGATGTGTGATATGTGGCATTCCACTGCATTTACTTTTCTGAACAATGGATTATGTGTTTAAAGGCCTCTTATATCGATCCAGCTGGAGCATGTGAGAAAAATAATAAGAAGTAACAACGGTCTGTCTACAACAAATCAAACAGAATAAGTTATTTTCTCTGTCCTCAGGCATTTTTCAAGTGATGTTCTCTGTCATTGCATTGGAATTCTTCAAGTTGAAACCTGAGCAGAATGGCTATCTGATGGCTTACTTTGGCATTGCCTCAATGGTAAGTGTCCCTCAGATTGAAATACAAGACAAGCTGATTTAGATTTTCAGTGCTTCATGATGATTCTAGACTGCAAGACGAGGTCAGTAAAATCCCGGATGTTTGTGCAGGTTGTTCAGGGAGGAGTGGTCGGTCGGCTTACAGCGAGATACTCTGAGAACTCGCTGCTGCTTCTGTCCATCGGTGTTTCTTCTTTGGTGGGACTGGCTCAGGTACACACACAAAAAAACGTTCATGGCATTCAATCCAATAGTTGCAAGATGTTTCAGTCTGGACTGAAGTGGTGGAATGACTGACATTGTCATCTGTAGTGCAGTGCTGCTAGTACAAATATGTGTTGGTTACATCTTCTCAAATCTTAGCATTTCTTGCATTTCTGCTTTTCATTGCAATAAAAATACATATTTTTTAATGTTTTCACATCTACAATAAGTCTTTCTTTTGGCTCAAGTGTGCTCATTTGGTCATAATGAAAAAAATCCTCAGCTGCAGATCATTTTATATGTATTTATTTCTGCAGGCTTACATGCAGGATGTGTTCCAGTTCTGCCTCACCGTCGTCCCGATGATGTTTTCTCTCAGTGTGTTTAACGTCATCACAGACACAATGCTCACCAAGAGCGTACCGTCCTCCGAAACAGGTGAAGTCATCCTGCTTTTCTACTTGCACAACATTCACAACAGCCATTAACAGCAGGCACTCTTTCACAGGCTCCAATTACACTAAGCTGCATTTTGATCACGTGTGACTGCATCTGATTACAGATATTTCAAACAAAAGAAGTATAACTTTACAAAACTACCCAAAGCAAAGAAAACTACAGGCTCACCTTGTACTAGATACTGAGGATTAGCTAAATTACTTTAATTAAATTGTTTGTTGAACCCACTTTGTTCTTGAACGCAGGCACTATGATGGGACTGTGTGCATCCGTCCAACCTCTGATTCGCATGGTCGGGCCGACTGTTGGCGGCTTCATGTATGTGAACTACGGCATTTCCTCTATAGGCCTAATCCAGTTTGTCGTGAATATTGCTGTGTTTGTGCACCTGCTGCAGCGTCACCTCAGGAAGACAGCCGAGCATCAGAAATGAAATCGTTTATTTTTTTTAAAGCTTCTTTTCATCTCCAATTTGTCCACAAACCAGGAGAGTTGATGGAAATTCAATGTTTGATTTTTAGCAACAATCACCTCTCCATGTGCATGTATTTACGTCATCCTGTCACAGTCATTTACATGATGAGGTAAGGTCAAGTCTTTACACCTCTGTTGCCGTTTAATCCGTGGCGGAGGTTCAGAACTGAACCACTAGATGGTAGCAAATCCTCCATTTTACCAGATGGTACTTTAATTTTCCAGGGTTCATCGTTCACATTTATATTAGTTACACTTTAAAAATCAGTTTGTTGCTGTTGAGATTTCATTAAACGTCGTCTAAAGGGATTAAATATTAGACCAATCAACATCATTGCTAATTGAACATAGTTTTATCAGAGCAATTTATAATGAAAGTATATTTTCTTATTCGTCACTGTTTTTAATTAAATCTTTTAAAAAATGATTTTATTTTTTTACATTAATTCATCTAAAGGTAGTAGAGTATTTCATACTTCCCTTTGCATTGAATGCTATGAATCTGTCAGAAATATCGGTAATTGATACAGTCAATAAATATAATGAAGATTGTATGAATATTTCAGCCCCTTTAGTACAGTGATGGCAGCGTAGCAGAACTTTGTTTCTTCTTCGTTCTTATCCCATTCGTCATCTCAAATCCCTTCAAATTTATCTGGTGACTCTTTTAAGGGGCCCGACCCCTAGATTTGGAACCAGTGAACTAAATTACCTGTAAAGTAGTTAAACTACCTCCACCAACAGTAAATTATTGCATGATAATCTAATAATGCAATCAATAATGATGTATCAGTTACTGAGGGTATTTTTCTGCTGAATAAGTACTTTTATTTAAATGCAAGATTTGTATTTTTACATTGTTATATTGATACTTTTACTTAAATACAGGATGTAATTACTCCCAACGGTAACGGCGCCAATATTTATCAACGAATATTAAATCACCAAGTGCAGAAAAACAAATGACGTAATGTGTGGAGGACAAACAAATCCCAGTCTCAGTTGTTCTCTGTCATATTTATTGACAGTTTTCTACTACCTCGGTTGCTAATCTGCAGCGTGTTGAAGTGATGTCACAAAATCTGCGGCAGGTGGTTTCATTGTTTCTACAAAGTACTCTGTTTTTGAAATATTACGATCAGCAATCCGGGATAAATATGATCTTATTTTAACAGTAGGGGGTGAGTGGTGTTACAGAGTTATTATGGACCAGGCTACAACTTCAACAGATGTCACTGGTTTGATTTCTTTGTTTGTTGAGCCAAATATGTGATGAAAGCTGCCACACAAACAGATTACATCTTAAATACTGCAACAAAATAAAGGACCGATGTTCGTTTATTTTCAGTGTTTTCTTTATGACCTTTAGGAGACATTTTACTGTCAATTATTGAGACATTATTCTGGAAAATAATTTTAGTTTCAATATACTTTTAGAAATTTCAAAGTAAATGTAACCATAAGAAATCAGTTAAAGTCGGTGAACAGATTTCATGCTTTAGTTATTAATCTTATACTGTATGTTGTTTAACGTTGTTTCTTTGCATTCAGTTGAAGAGGGAAATAATTATTTAACTTAAGTAAAAATTCAAGACAATATTTAATTTCTGTACAGCCCTCAAATGTCATTTTAAAAGTTTGAAGGTTACTTTTTGATGACTCTTAGCTGGCAGATTGTGATGGTCTGTTCAGGCAGACTGCACCTTTAATGTGATCAGCCGTCTCAGTGGCAATCCCATCATCTGAGCCTCATCCCACACCTACCCGCATACATTTCTCGCTGTAGTCTGAGTCGTACAGACGATGTTCAGCCGTCCGTGTCGATGCAGCTCCGCTGACTTTTTACACTTTTGCAAAAAATAAACACGCCACTTGCTCTTGAATCTTCTACTTCTGCCTCTCTAACTGACTCACAGAGACTCAAAGGAGCTGTAGATGGATTTGAAGGGTGTCACTGTATCTGTGGACCCAGGGGGGCGGCCCTGACCACGGGAGGGGGTGCCCTGTTACACTTGGCCCTTTGAGTCAGGGGGAGCGGGGACAATGCTGCTGTTAACACTCCTGACGGGGACCTTTGGGTTCTCTGAAAGTTTAATGTGACTCTGCGAGCGACCTGCGCTCACTGAGGTCAGAGATGAGCGGGGCCCGGCGTCGGTCCAAGGTTGCCCCGTGTTGGTGCATAGGAAACTGAATGCCAGTGGGGGGGTTGCCATCGGGTCCTGGACTTGTTTTGTCCCCTGTGGCATGGATAATGAGGCAGCTGTCTCCACCTGCCGCATAGAGAGACCAGGCTCACTGTCTCACTTAAAAAGAGCACAGGTTACCTATCTGATTTGTCCAAGGCAGGCCAGGGACATGATCTGAAGCAGAGGAGCCTTCAGTCTAAATGTTTTATACCCCGGCTTTCTTATTTCTGTTTGTGCTGCACCACACGAAGCTCCTTATCAATCAAACATGAGCCACCCAAATGATATTATTCTTCCCCAAGAAAGTGGTACTTCTTGTATTGATAGCACGAACATAAAAGAAATATCACTGAATTACATTAATTTATCATAAAGCAGAAAATAGGCCATTGTGCTGATTCTTGCTCAGAAATAATGCACACCTGATGTGCGTGTGACAGCAGCTCAACATGGCCCCCCCCCCCCCCCACCCTTCCCCTGTCTTCCTCTCCGGCGGACCTCGTGGAGCTCGTGGAGTTGGCGTTGGCCACAGGGACGAAAGGTGATCTTAGGGGGGTTTTGTCTTGGTGTAATCAGACAGCGGCATCATCAATCATGAGAGGGTGAATTACAGCGGGTTACAATGGGAGATAAGATAATGAGTGGGGCCTCAGCGACCTGGTGAGGGACGGCTCGAGTTCCCGTCCAGATTACATGGCAGCGGCCTGACTGGCTGCACACCTCTCTGAGGATGCTGGTTGCACAAATCCAAGATGGAGAAAAACACTTTTTGTTCAACTACATCGCAGTGGAAGTACCAAAGGAGAGCATGCAGGTGAAATTAGCTCTATTGTATTTCATGGTCATTTCCATGGTATGGAAATCAACTGTTGGTAACAAGGGTGTGTCAGAGGTTTGATGTAAAACTGTATGCCATGACCCAACACTGCAGAGATCAGGGTCCAATTCCCAGCAGTGATGCTTGAAGGGAACATACTGACAAGTAGCTATTCTTGGAGCCTTTCAGGCAGTGAGGCAAAAAATTTAAAGTTTGCATTAAAGTTATGAAAGACTACATATCCATGCTTCACTTATTCTACGTGTTTATAGATTGTGCTGTCACTGTTGTATTGCAGCTTTTAAACTGCAACAATTTACAGCTATCTTTCTCATTGGAGCATTGGGTTTGGGGACCTACAGTGTAACTGCCATCGTAACACCAGCCAGCTTCAACCTGAGCAAAGCTCTATCCAGCGATAACTGATATAAAAGGTGTGAAACTTTTAATTTGACAATATTTAATTTCTGCACAGCCCTCAAATGTCACGTTAATTTTATAAAAAAGGGACAAAACACAGAGAAATATCTACAAAAAGACCAAAGCAATTACAAAGATATAAAAAATTAACACAAAGAGACAAAACATCAACAAAAAGAGGCTAAACATCTATAATGGCTGTGTGTCCTGCTCCTACAGTAGAAGAGGTGTTGGGGCCTTTAGCATGTCTGTGTTTAGGGGCCCGTTGTCTCATAATCCACCCATGGCCAGTCTGCAGGTGAATCTGCACGTGTCGAGAAACCACAGGCTTGTGTGATGAATCACCAGACATCTTAATACACAGCCTCAGTATCTGTGCTGCCATGAAGCGTGCTCGGTCGTGTGTCAGCGGCTCTGAGCCCCATGACGCCCAGTCTAGTCCACACTCTCACTCCCTGACATGTGCCACCGCTCACTAATCCTCCACTGACGCTCCTCTCTGCAGCATCACACTCCACAACAGAACAATAAATGACCACTGCGCTGACCTCAGAGGGCAACAGGCCCCTGTTAATTAATACACAGGAGCTGCTGCATGTTAGCCGGTCATCTTATAGTGTACTAGGGAACATAGAAGAGCTTTCTCTATGCATGCTGCTCCACAGAAATGAATTGTTTTCTTTGGGATTAAAACAGTCGGAGATTTGAATATTCGAGGATAATATGGTTAAAAGGGAGGATGTGGATATCATTTTAATTATGGCTGAGCGGATTAGATAACAATATGATGTATTAGTAAAAGGCGGGAAGAAAGTGTGTGCCAAGCGAGGCATCTGTTTGAATTAGCGGCTGTAAGCTCTGCATGTTATTTGCATGAGTCATATGGAGCAGCATCTGTGTTCTTCAAAGATAAATCTGACCATTATTGGTCATATTGGTCAGTTTAGGACCACCATGCATGACGCAACCAAGGTTTCATATGGGCCAGTCTGATTACAATCAATTACATTGTCTATCAGGATCTGTAGCACCTGGAGAGTTTAGTTTGAGGTGTTGAATACCAAAGCTTTGATGTGCTAAAACTGTACCTAATAATGTTAACTTTATTGCTCTTAACCCCCAAAAATGATATTTTTCAGAATATTTTTCAGAATACAAAACTGCACAAAAAAAAAAAAAAAGACATTCATAAATATCTCACAAAGCCAATTTAGATTTAAAACGTTTGTGACAAAACTTTTTAATCTTAATACTTTTATTATGTGTTGAGATAATTCCACTTTTCTATGAGTCGACATCCTGACACAACGTGCTCCAAAAGGATCTTGGAACAACTTGATTTGTATTGAATGGAGTTGAAATACTCTGAAGTATCATTCAAAGGAACTCAAATGTTTGGAAAAACCCTGTTTCACCGAGATTGTTTCAAGTTTCTACCAAAAAACAACAATACAAATACCTTGCACAGCTACACAGGTGTTTTTAGTTATTCAGGTTGATTGAGAATTTCAATACAACTTATTGAGTAAGGAACCATAATGTTGAGCAACAAATAACTTGTACAAACCATATGATTTTGCTAGCTATGGTCATGGAGAGTTACTGATACTGATATTTGAGACGTATGGTTGAGAATAAAGAAGGGGATGGCATACGACTGATAACATGCTCCTTCAGGTCAGCAGTAAAACAGTCTCAAAGTTTGCCGTCTTAGATCTTACATATATGATATTTACACAGGCAATTGATTTCCTCAATCTGATTATTATTTGGATGGCAGATGGTTGGTCGGTGGTAATCCCAGCCGCCCATTGGCCTGACCCCTTGCACTCCACCCACCGCCTCCACAACCAACACGCGACCCCCTTCCCCCCCCTCACATCTTAACGAACCTGCTTAGCCGTGTGGCCAAAGAGCTGCTTTAAACTGGTGAGTAATGGCTATGTCAGCAGTCAGTAGATGAGCCAGAGGGTGAGGGGTGTGGACGTGTGAAGGGGTGAGGGGATGAGTGGGGTATTAGAGCCCCGTTAAAGCCGGGTTCTATTGTTAATGAAAGAATGTACTTTTAACAATTATACAGTTATTTATTTGTGTTTATCATGAGAAAAATAATGCAAAGAAAAAGTACACTATTTGTAGTTAGTTTTGCGATGTGCATGGAAAATATTAACTTCTAAAACAATTATTTATGTTTTAGCTTTCAACTTTCCAGTAAAATTGAAGCAAATTGAAAAAAAACACACAAAATTGTCATTAATTTATTGGACAGTGATTTTCGATAAACAACAAATCAATTGGTTAATTTACCAAATGTTCTACAAATATCTCTGATAGTCCACAAGACCATGAAACGCAAGAGAGGTTTAAGGATAATTTCAATTTTGCTTAAAGTTATCAAATGACGATTTAGAAAGTATGACACTCCTCAAACTACAATATAACACTCCATCTGTTAAAACAAAGCAGTGATACTGTATTGTATCTTACAGAAATGTAACAATGGTAATTTGAGTTACCTCATTTGCTTTAATCTTCTTGCTTCCTCTGCGTTTCCACAGGGGCCCTAATCTAATCTAAAGTCATGTGAACTAATCCACCGCAGCAGCAGCAGCAGTGGTCGAGGTTTAGGCCTTTGACTGATAGCCATCTGCCAGACGTGTGTCTAATTAGTTTGTTTTACTCAACTAATGAAATGAAACGTGGAAAGGTGAGAAGTGGACCTGGAGTTAGAGGCTGAAACTAAAGGTGTTGTACTTCAACGACAAATCACTTTTATCTGCTTCCTCCAAGATTTGTAAAACTACTAAAAACATTTATTCAATCATCATTAAGTCATTAAAACGAATTATCTGTAGTTACCAACTTGGTGTTTTTCAGTAAAAACACTTAACAGTAGTTTTGTGCATAAAAAACTGGAAAAAATATTATAATATTCAAAAAAATGTAATAGAATTTCTGTAATAAGAAGTGAATTGGGTATAAAAATGAAGTAAGATTTTCCAAATGGATTCCCCTAATGGATTGAATTACTTGCTGCAGGTATACCTGGTAAATAACAGAATACCTGGAATTTTTAATCCTACTCTTTGACAACAGTTGACATTGAAGAGGATTATACAAATCTTCTTAAGACGGTTCACAGTTGAACTAAACTGGAAATCTCTGTGTTGTCATAATCATAAATTGTAGCTCATGACAAACCCACTGGTTATTTAACAACCTCCATTAGCTGAAAACCCAATAAAGTACAGCAATGTGACACCAAGTTGATCCAAATCCATCACATATACAACGTGGGGGGGGAAAGGTGAAAGGAGTGGAATATAA